AAAATTTACACGATGTCATAATCATAAACCAGCGTTAATGTCCAAGATTGCGAACTGTAGTATTCTCGTACACCAACTTAATTATCCATAAGTTATAAGTTAATTTTAAATCTGCGCCGAAATGCTCTGTATAAACAGAGGGTTTCTGTAAACTGTCTGTAATGTTAATTATTCTTAAGTTAAATGTGTATTGTACTTTGTGGAAATATAGATCACCTGGAGTTTACCTGGAGAGAGTTCCGGGGGTCAACGCCCCCGCGGCCCGGTCTGTGACCAGGCCTCCTGGTGGATCAGAGCCTGATCAACCAGGCTGTTGCTGCTGGCTGCACGCAAACCAACGTACGAGCCACAGCCAGGCTGGTCAGGAACCGACTTTAGGTGTTTGTCCAGTGCCAGCTTGAAGACTGCCAGGGGTCTGTTGGTAATCCTCCTTATGTATGCTGGGAGGCAGTTGAACAGTCTCGGGCCCCTGACACTTATTGTATGGTCTCTTAACGTGCTAGTGACACCCCTGCTTTTCATTGGGGGGATGGTGCATCGTCTGCCAAGTCTTTTGCTTTCGTAGTGAGTGATTTTCGTGTGCAAGTTCGGTACTAGTCCCTCTAGGATTTTCCAGGTGTATATAATCATGTATCTCTCCCGCCTGCGTTCCAGGGAATACAGGTTCAGGAACCTCAAGCGCTCCCAGTAACTGAGGTGTTTTATCTCCGTTATGCGCGCCGTGAAGGTTCTCTGTACATTTTCTAGGTCAGCAATTTCACCTGCCTTGAAAGGTGCTGTTAGTGTGCAGCAATATTCCAGCCTAGATCGAACAAGTGACCTGAAGAGTGTCATCATGGGCTTGGCATCCCTAGTTTTGAAGGTTCTCATTATCCATCCTGTCATTTTTCTAGCAGATGCGATTGATACAATGTTATGGTCCTTGAAGGTGAGATCCTCCGACATGATCACTCCCAGGTCTTTGACGTTGGTGTTTCGCTCTATTTTGTGGCCAGAATTTGTTTTGTACTCTGATGAAGATTTAATTTCCTCGTGTTTACCATATCTGAGTAATTGAAATTTCTCATCGTTGAATTTCATATTGTTTTCTGCAGCCCACTGAAAGAGTTGGTTGATGTCCCCCTGGAGCCTTGCAGTGTCTGCAATGGAAGACACTGTCATGCAGATTCGGGTGTCATCTGCAAAGGAAGACACTGTGCTGTGGCTGACATCCTTGTCTATGTCGGATATGAGGATGAGGAACAAGATGGGAGCGAGTACTGTGCCTTGTGGAACAGAGCTTTTCACCGTAGCCGCCTCGGACTTTACTCTGTTGACTACTACTCTCTGTGTTCTGTTAGTGAGGAAATTATAGATCCATCGACCGACTTTTCCTGTTATTTCTTTAGCACGCATTTTGTGCGCTATTACGCCATGGTCACACTTGTCGAAGGCTTTTGCAAAGTCAGTATTATCTTTATCATGTCATAACTTCGTCAGAATACCATCGTAAGATAAGATAAGATTTCGTTCGGATTTTTAACCCCGGAGGGTTAGCCACCCAGGATAACCCAAGAAAGTCAGTGCGTCACCGAGGACTGTCTAACTTATTTCCATTGGGGTCCTTAATCTTGTCCCCCAGGATGCGACCCACACCAGTCGACTAACACCCAGGTACCTATTTGCTGCTAGGTGAACAGGACAACAGGTGTAAGGAAACGTGTCGGAATGTTTCCACCCGCCGGGAATCGAACCCGGGCCCTCCGTGTGTGAAGCGGGAGCTTTAGCCACCAGGCCACGGGGCCACCCGTGTAGGACAAGTTTCAAGGACTCCAGTGGAAATAAGTCACTCTCTGACTTTCTGGGCTATTCTAGGTTCTCCACACAATTGCTGTTATGTATGGTAATCAATGTAACTGTTTTTTTTTTGTGTGTGTGTATACCTGAATAAACTTACTGTGCACTCAGGTTTCTGAAAGTTGGGTGACAAACACCTCACAAAAATCAAGGACCTCAAGAATGACCAGCTTAATTTACCAGAGTTGCGATCCAGAGAGGAAATGCCTGCAGCCTTCTGGTTACGCGACCCATCACCTAGGAGATGCTAGGCTTTGTAATGGCATGAATATTCTCTCTCCACACACGAAGAGGCCGGGGCAAGAGCTGTGACCCCACCCCTGCAACCACCAAAAGTGAGCGTGCGCACGCACACACCAGTGAAGAGGCGGGGCCAGGAGCTGTGAATCGACCCTTGCAACCACAACTAGGCGAGTACACACACACACACACACACACACACACACACACACAAAACACACTCCTAGTAGCGACCAGTGAAGAGGCGGGGCCAGGAGCTAGGACTCGACCCCTGCAACCTCAACTAGGTGAGTACGCACACACTCGACACAACATACATAATATTAACACTAAATTGTAGTCCTGGTGCTTCACTAGGGTACACTGAACACAGTGCAACACGACTTTGGCAATTAAGCGCGTGCCACATATCAAGGTGAGTAGTGAGCGCGCTCCACACATCGACCAGACTAGTCAGCTGTTTGTGAAATATTGTAATGGAAGACATGAGGTGGAGAAGTGGTCAATACGGTATTACACACTAAAGCTCACGGTCCTGGCGTAGTCTCAGCCATATGGCATCCGTGAGAGTCTGACTGCGCGCGCCTCCTCTTCCCCCGCCTCCGCCTCCTCTTCCCCCCGGCGTGACGTCACATGCCTGCTCATGTACGATGATTATCATATCAACAGGTGACGTTTTTATCGTACAAAAACGTACAGTTTTGCTGTTCGTACCAGATGTAATGTAAACATTGGTGACTCTTTGGCAATTATGGGGAATATATGATATGCATTTTTAGATAGAGACTTTCCTCGTGGGAATCTAAGATAAATAGAAACACTAAAGCCGGGGTAAACGTCGTTTAATATTCAAATATCTTTATATGTCATGGAAACGTTTCGAGCGTCACACTTACTTCCAGAAGCCCAGTGGAAATAAGTCATTTTGACTTTTTGGGGGGTTATTCTATGTAATCTACACACATACTACTATATATGATAATCTATGTAACTATGTTTATGTGTACCTATACCTGAATAAACTTACACTTCATCATCAGTGCTCCATGAGAACAATTACTCTAGATATATTTTGAATTTAATGACCTTATTTAGAGGAAACATTATTGATATAGATCAGTTGTTCTGCTTGGTAACTGTTCTCGTTGTTTTAGTACTGATGATGGAAGTGTGTGAGGCAACGAAACGTTGGCAGGGTGTATGAAGATGAAGATTAAGACATGTGCAACAGTTGGGAATCCTTATTGACGAAACGTTTCGCCTACACAGTAGGCTTCTTCAGTCAAATACAAAGGCAGTAGTAGTAATGGAATAAAGATGATGTTATCGGTACATCAACATTGGAGAAAAAATATGTGAGGTAGACAGTCACTCAGCCTGAAGAGTTCCCTCTCAAGGGAAGGTTCCTTGATGCTGGTGAAGGGCTCTTGATCTAGGGAATTGGATCTGTGCTCCAGTTCCCTGACTTAAACATTAAAACTGAATACCTTCCACATACCCCCACAGGCGGTGTATAATCCTACGGGTTTAGCGCTTCTCCTTGATTATAATAATAATAATAATAATAATAATAATAATAATAATAATAATAATAATAATAATGTAAAAGAGTTCCAGGGTCTGGACGATATCAACTTTTCGGTAATTTATAACATTTTCAACACGTCTGAAGGTATTTGAATATTTAATAAATTTGTTTACGACGGCTTTAGTGTTTCTATTAACTATCCGTCTTATATATTTTTAGTATATGTCGTTCTTTAATAAAAATAATAGAATACTTTTGTTCAATTATTAAGGACTGCGAATAAGTTGAATACTTTTGTGGCATTTTAGTTATATCCTCTCCTTAATTCACCATAAAAAATATGTTTTTGTTTTAAGTCAGTAGCTACGCTGACACAGGTATATGGCTTATCTAAGTGAAGACTGTCCTGTTTCTTCTTTGTTTTAGCTGCTTACGAGAGGAGAGAGAGAGAGAGAGAGAGAGAGAGAGAGAGAGAGAGAGAGAGAGAGAGAGAGAGAGAGAGAGAGAGAGAGAGAGAGAGAGAGAGAGAGAGGTTTGGTTATATAATTTGTTAAGGTAAAAAAAAACTTATAACGGAATTAAGTCACGTGATGGCTTGACTGGGTTATTCTGGATTAAGACATTACTGTTCCAGTATTGCAACATGTGTTTATATATATATATATATATATATATATATATATATATATATATATATATATATATATATATATATATATATATATATATATATATATAATGTATTGACAGGTGTGCATCTATATGTATAGACAGAGATAGAAGTGCACACCTGTGTATATGCCCGAGATATACACACCTGTGTGCTAATAAAAGGTTTATATCTGCGTATATTCACAGGAGTTCACGTATATTTGCGTATATGCACAGGGCATTAAGTATTCGTGATTTTAGTGTGCTGGTTAATATACAACCTTTATGGCCCATCGTGCAGTTGATAGGCGTTAAACCTAACAAAGTAACATAAAGATTTATTACGTATATAGGAGAGCAATAGGATTTATACATGATTTTCTCTCACGTGGTCTATATGCTATACAAACTTATTGCTTACCGTACGACATGAACTGGGGATTGAAAGTTCCATATACATCTGTGTTTATGAGGGTTGATATGACAGTATTGATGTGACAGTGGATGTGTATAGGTGTGTGTTAAGGTATATATATGTGTGACCTATATATTGTAGACTATACACACGGACACGGACCATGTGCCACTTAATACCATTGAAGACTATATAATCTTTTGATAAAGAAGTCATTTTTATATCTGATAAAACACAGACGTGTCACCAAAGTAGATTAATATTTAATTTGTGTCGTGAGCCAGAGATGATAATGTTGGTGATAATGTTAAAAAAAAAAAAGGTTGAGGATTAGGGAGCGATGGCAACACTATAGTGGCGCTGTGACTGGTGGAGAAGTGGTGACGTCAGAGGGCATGAGCTGACTATGATTGGTGGAAGAGTTATGTCGTCAGAGGCGATCGACGGGCTTCGATTGGTGGAGGAATGATGACGTCAGAGGACATTGACGTGGTCTCCATTGTTCACCGTTCATGAACTGAGTCTCTTCTAGGTTCTCTTGGTGGATGGTGATGTGTGGTGGCGTGGTGTGTTTATGAATTTAATGTTATTTAAAAGAATCCCAAATGAAGCCTGGAGGATAATTATACAATATCTTTAGAAAGTGGTATGTGTTAAGGCCTGGTGGAGCCGGGAGGGGCAAGTCGAGTGCATCTTGTGAGTGTTTTAGTGCAGTGCGTGGTGTTGGAGGAGATGGCGGCCTCAGCGCTATGATATGTGCGGCCACAGATAGGGAGGCGGCGTGCAGGAGCGTTGGAGGTCCTGGAGGTGGCTTGGCCGGAGGAGGAGGTGGTGTAGGAGGCCTGCTGGGAGGTAGTGCAGTGTTTGCCATGCCTTTATCCCGCACCAGATCTCTACTGGCCAACATCAACGGTGCTAGCTCCCCCGGGGACTCCACCACCCTCTCCAACACCACTTCCAACGCCACCACCGGCGCCAACACCTACCTAGACAGCGGTACCAGCACCCACTTACCTCCCCTCAAACCCCTCGTCATGAAGACCACTGGGGCGCAGTCTATCACGCAGCTCTACGAATTCGATGACACGAATTCCAACTCAGAGCAGAACGGTCAGCCCAATTCTGTTTCGAGTCAAGTCAGCGCCGACTCCTCGAGCCTCCCGGTAGTTAGGCCTACTTCAGCAGACTCTAGTAGCCTAAAAAACGGCTCAACCAGACAACCAAAGACCTATGTAGCGACCCCCGAACAGGTTATGAAATATTATATGAACAAACTCACCCCTTACGAACATAAAGAAATTTTTAATTATCCACAAATCTACTTCATAGGCGCCAATGCGAAGAAGAGGCCCGGGATTATAGGCTCGGGGAACCAAGCTATCTCCTCTAACTATGGCTACGACGACCACCAAGGGTCGTACGCGCACATTCCTCACGACCACATCCAGTACAGATACGAAGTGCTCAAAATCATAGGCAAGGGGAGCTTTGGGCAGGTAGTGAAGGCCTACGACCATAAGAGCCACCTCCATGTGGCTCTGAAGATCGTCAGGAATGAGAAGCGATTCCACAGGCAGGCGCAGGAGGAGATACGCATCCTGGAACACCTCAGGAAGCAGGACAAGGACAACACCATGAACATCATCCACATGTTCGACCACTTCACCTTCCGTTCCCATACCTGTATCACCTTCGAGCTCCTCTCTATCAATCTCTACGAGCTCATTAAGAAGAATAAGTTCATGGGGTTTAGCCTGCAGCTGGTACGGAAGTTTGCCCACAGTCTGCTTCTGTGTCTGGACGCTCTCTACAAGAACAAGATCATCCATTGTGATATGAAGCCGGAAAACGTTCTCCTCAAACAACAGGGACGCAGTGGCATTAAGGTAATTCACAAAATGATATCCTTAACTTTGTTAACCTTAATTATATTACATTCGTCGGGAAGAGATTTTAATTAGTAATACTGAAAAATGTTATTAGAGTAAGTGGATTTTTGTAATTTTACTGTTAAGGCCAAGTGCTTAAGTAAGTTTACTAAGTACAATTACGTACAGTTGTCTTGCGTCGTAACATAAGTGTAAATTACCTAGAATAAACCAGTAAAGTCAAAGTGATTTATTTCCAGCGGGGTCCTTGATTTCCATAGTTGTCGTTATCCAGGTTGCCACCCACAGCAGTCAAATGAAACAAGGTATCAATTCACTGGCTGCTAGGTGAACATGGACGCAGGTGTAAGGAGACGTACTCATACGTCTACTTCACGTTCAAAATACCAACTACAATAATCGACTAACTCACGTACCTATTTATGGGTAGGTGAGCAGGGGGCCTGGTGGCTAAAGCTCCCGCTTCACACACGGAGGGCCCGGGTTCGATTCCCGGCGGGTGGAAACATTCCGACACGTTTCCTTACACCTGTTGTCCTGTTCACCTAGCAGCAAATAGGTACCTGGGTGTTAGTCGACTGGTGTGGGTCGCATCCTGGGGGACAAGATTACGGACCCCAATGGAAATAAGTTAGACAGTCCTCGGTGACGCACTGACTTTCTTGGGTTATCCTGGGTGGCTAACCCTCCGGGGTTAAAAATCCGAACGAAATCGTATCTTATCTTATCTGTCCCAACCTGCCTGGGAAACGAATCCGGACCCTTTCGGTCACATTGACACACTCCGTCCTCTTCTAACGACTCCAGTAGCCGTCTTAAGTAATTCAACATTTTCTGATAGTAATATTAATTAAATGTTTCAGTGTATGTACACCTAGAGATGTGTTTTCTATGTACATTTACCGAGAGAGAAGTCTCAGTATATATGCACTGAGAGGCGTGTCAGTGTATATTTACTGATATACACACTGAGAGGTATGTCTTAGTGTAGATACAATTAACAATTTGCAGTAACTAATTTATCAGTAATTAAGGTATTCTTACATTATTTGTATACACATGATACACCGCTTTCATGACCCTGGTGTAGTCGGTAGGTTTTAATTAAACCTCCCCTCAAGGAAGGTTCCTTGATGTTGGTGAGGAGCTCTTGATTTAAGGAATTGGATCTGTGCTCCAGTTTCCCGAATTAAGCCTGAATGCCTTCCACATCCCCCCCCCAGGTGCTGTATAATCCTCCGGGTTTAGCGCTTCCCCCTTGATTATAATAATAATAATTTAATTAAACCTAACAAATTCTTTTTATATGGGTTATAAGGGTCTGTATGATCACTGTGGCTTGTATATATATATAACAGCCATGTGGATTTGTTTATGCCATGTGGCTTAAGACAAGTGGACGGATGTGTGAGCCTTATCTGTTATATGTGTGCGTGGAAAATCATGTGTTGTGTGTGTGTTTGGGTTTTGTGTTTTCGTGTGTGTTTTGTGTGTTGTGTGTGTGTGTCTGTGTGTTTTGTGTATGTGTGTGTGTGTGTGTGTTGTGTTGTGTTGTGTTGTGTGTGTGTGTGTGTGTGTGTGTGTGTGTGTGTGTGTGTGTGTGTGTGTGTGTGTGTGTGTGTACTCACCTAGTTGAGGTTGCGGGGGTCGAGTCCGAGCTCCTGGCCCCGCCTCTTCACTGATCGCTACTAGGTCACTCTCCCTGAGCCGTGAGCTTTATCATACCTCTGCTTAAAGCTATGTATGGATCCTGCCTCCACTACATCACTTCCCAAACTATTCCACTTACTGACTACTCTGTGGCTGAAGAAATACTTCCTAACATCCCTGTGATTCATCTGTGTCTTCAGCTTCCAACTGTGTCCCCTTGTTGCTGTGTCCAATCTCTGGAACATCCTGTCTTTGTCCACCTTGTCAATTCCTCTCAGTATTTTGTATGTCGTTATCATGTGTGTGTGTGTGTGTGTGTGTGTGTGTGTGTGTGTGTGTGTGTGTTGTGTGTGTGTGTGTGTGTGTGTGTGTGTGTCTGTCTGTCTGTCTGTCTGTCTGTATGTATGTCTGTATGTGTGTTGCTTGTGTCTGTGTTGTGTGTGTCTGTGTGTTATCTCCAACACCCGACATATCGTTGTTAATTAGATAATTACACAAAGTTCTCCAAGAAGATGTTGAGCATCTGCAGATTGTCTTTAATTGAAGCTACTGATCCCATTCCTCGGATCAAGCTTGATTACCTCCCATTCCCCAGGTAATGACCGATCCTCCTAAGATATTGCTCTTTCCCCATGAATATTATAACTGTCGCTGCACGATCCCTGGAAGATATCCCCGTGTCACACAAACCCAGTCCCCTCTACCTCAGTGATCCCTGGAAGATATCCCCGTGTCACACAAACCCAGCCCCCTCTACCTCAGTGATCCCTGGAAGATATTCACGTGTCACACAAACTCAGCCCCCTCTACCTCGGTGATCCCTGGAAGATATCCACGTGTCACACAAACTCAGCCCCCTCTACCTCAGTGATCCCTGGAAGATATCCCCGTATCACACAAACCCAGCCCCCTCTACCTCAGTGATCCCTGGAAGGTATCCCCGTGCCACATAAACCCAGCCCCCTCTACCTTAGTGATCCCTGGAAGGTATCCCCGTGCCACATAAACCCAGCCCCCTCTACCTTAGTGATCCCTGGAAGGTATCCCCGTGTAACATAAACCCAGCCTCCTCTACTACTGGGCTCGTAAATAGACTGAACATCTATCAGTTATTGAAGGCCAAGGAACTGAGCACCTTAAAATTACTTCCAATGCCTTCAGTATAAAAACTGACTGAAGAAGTCTGCGCTGCAGGCGGAATCTTTCAGCAATAAAGATAACCAAGTGTACCATTAACATAATCATAAAATTATAACGCCACAAAATGTAAAAAATTACATATGTGTATGTGTTTATGAATTTTCCTGCGCGCGCGCGCGCGTGTGCGTGTGTATGTATGTATGTATGTGTGTGTGTGTGTGTGTGTGTGTGTGTGTGTGTGTGTGTGTGTGTGTGTGTGTGTGTGTTTGCATATGTTTTCTTGGCAGCATGAGTCGAATCTCAGCTCCCGGCCCCGCCTCACAACCGGTCATTACTGTATTCAGTCTCTCCTGTTCTTAAAGCTGTGTGTGGATCCTGACACTTCTCACTCCAGGCCGTTCTGCTTCTTCACTGTTATGAGGCTAAACAAATATTTCTGTGTTTTTAAATTCTACTTGTGATGGAAATCAATATCAGTGTGTTTAATAAAACTGACACAGTCTCTGTCAGGCACTGACAGAGACTGTCAGAGACTGATAGAGACTGTCAGTATCTGGTACAGAAAACAACTTCGACAACTTTTTCAAGTGAGAAGGGATGGATCTGAGAGGGAGCTGTCCTCTCAGTGATTACATTCTTTCTTCTACTAGTGGACTACACCTCACCTGACAGTATATAAGTCTCTTTATTGTCGCTTCAAACTTCACATTGCTCCAGACTATGGAACAAAACTATTCTCCAGGCTGAGGGACTGACCACCTCAAAACTACATCCGCAAGGGTGATGGACTGATTACATCGTCTCCACACATCTACTGCTTCTATAAACTCCTCTGTACTCGACTGAAGAAGCCTACTGTGGAGGCGAAGCGTTTTGAAATAAAGATAGCTAACTGTTGCACATGTGTCTTATCAACCTGGTTACAGTACACGAGTATGGAAAGTTTGAAGCCAGTCCAATGAGACGTTCTCAAGTGATAAATAAAAACTGGAGAAAAAAAAAATGAGAAACGCCTCTATTGTTTCTCATCCTCATAACAGACAGATAAAAACATTCGCCACAGTTTTGTATCATTGCTTGTAGATAATACCAAAAATAGGTATGAAAATCACCTCGGTAGAAGACACGAACAAAATTGCAGGAAGATATAAGCAGGGTTTTCCTGTGGGCGGTGGAGAACAACATGATGTTTAGTGATGATAAGTTCCAGCTGCTTAGGTATGGAAAGAATGAAGAACTCAAAAGGGACACTGCATACAAAATCCAAGAGGATCATCATATAGAACGAAAGGAATACGTGAAAGACCTGGGAGTAATCATATCAGCTGATCTTTCTTTCAAAGAACACAGTAAAACAAATGTCACGACAGCCAGGAGGGTGATGGGGTAGATAATGAGAACTTCCAAAACAAGGAAAATAGTGCCAGTGATGACACTTCAAATCTAGTGTTCTCTCTCGTTTAGAGTATTGTTCAGTGTTGACCACTCTGTTTAGAGTAGGAGACATATTAGAGTTAGAATAGAGCGATCATTTATAGCCCACATAGAGCCAATAAAGGATTTATTTACTGGGAATGCCTCAAAGTCCTAAATATGTACTCACTGGAGCAGAGGACAGAGAGATACGTGATAATATATAAGTGGAAAGTAATTGAGGATCTGGTCCCAAATTTGCACACTGCCATAACGTTATAATATACTGGAGTGAGAGATATGGGAAGAAGTGCAAAATAAGCCCAGTGAAGGACAGGGGCGTTACGGGCACAATAAGAGAACATTGTATCAACATCTGTGGCCTCAGATTGTTCAGCATATTTTCAGAAGATATGAGAAACACTGCTGGGACAAGTATAGAAGTCTTCAAGATAAAACTGGACAAGTATCTTCACCAGGTGCCAGATCAACCAAACTAATGGATATGTGAGCCAGCGGGCCATCAGCAGCGACAGCCTTGTTGACCAAGCAAGCACCAGACAAGCCTAACCCAGAGCCAAGCTCCTGGAGTAGAAATGTTGAAAGTCATCAAAAGTAAAGATAATCACTGAAAGAAATGCCTTTGGGGTATCCTAAGTTATACTTTTCCTCCTGTCTCTGATGCTTCCGGTGCCTACTGTGTTTCCTGCTTCTTTTGTTCTTCTAATACTTTGGTGAAACTCGCCACTCTCTTTCTAACAGACTTAAAAAATAACTAAAGAGAAAAGTTGGCCTTCCCGACTCTAACATTGTGTTTTTCTGTCACGAGACAGATCACTGCCGTCATATTAACTGGTCCTCTGCTGCAGGTGCCCTTCGAAGACGCTGTCTTGTTGAATCAGTTCCTATACAAACTTTCCTAATAAGAATCTTAGTCCTGTTGATGAATTAGACACGTGCAGCATCTGGGATCTTTAACTGTTGACGTTTCGCCATCCAGTGGCTTTATCAATACATTACTTGGACATAATATGATAGCTGTAGAAATATATAAAGCAGACAGTGGAAGGTGAGGTAATCAGTCCCTCAGCCTAGGAGCAGGTGATGATCACCATAGTCTTAATTCATCATCTTGTCGGTATTGAATACCACTGCTATACATTCCTCTCATGTCTAGTTGCTTCTGCAGGTGACTCCTTTCCCAATACATTGTCAAAGTCTCTGATCTTCAGAACGCTTGTGACTTTATCTGACCTTTGCCTCCTCCTCCTCCTCCTCCTCTCCTTTCCTCCTGACCTGTCTTCTGTGTTTCATTTGTCTTTCCGGAAAGTCTGCTGACTTTCCCATTTCTTGTTTCTTGTCCTTTCCTCTCCTTTCATTTCTTTTCCTTTCCGAGCATGCGCCAATAAGCCTACATATCTTCTTGTCTTCTCTACTTTTTCTCGCTCAGTTGTGACTTGACAATGGTTCAGGACGGACCGAATTGTCAGGATTTCCCCTCCTAGATGTGTTATTTGTGAACCAGGTTTTCACAGGTTTAATCTGCGTAATGTAACACTTCATGTGTTTGTGTCTGTTCTCAGGACACCTGAAACAAAACTCTGAACCTAGAACTTACGTTTATCTACAACTTGTGTTTACCTAGAACTTGTTTACCGTCATCTTGTGTTTACGTTCATCTTGTGTTTACATTCATCTTGTGTTTACATTCATCTTGTGTTTACATTCATCTTGTGTTTACGTTCATCTTGTGTTTACGTTCATCTTGTGTTTATATTCATCTTGTGTTTACGTTCATCTTGTGTTTATATTCATCTTGTGTTTACGTTCATCTTGTGTTTATATTCATCTTGTGTTTACGTTCATCTTGTGTTTATATTCATCTTGTGTTTACGTTCATCTTGTGTTTATATTCATCTTGTGTTTACGTTCATCTTGTGTTTATATTCATCTTGTGTTTACGTTCATCTTGTGTTTATATTCATCTTGTGTTTACGTTCATCTTGTGTTTACGTTCATCTTGTGTTTACGTTCATCTTGTGTTTACGTTCATCTTGTGTTTACGTTCATCTTGTGTTTACGTTC